CGTCGAGCTCGTCGTCCATGTCGCCGGTGGTGTCCATTGTGTCGTCTTGCTCGTGGAACCCGGGGTCGGAGGCGGCGGCGGCCGATCCGCTCATGATGATCTCGTCCATGTCAGCTTCTGTCATGTCGGGGTGGCTGAAATCTGACGACGAGGTCTGCGGGAAGGGCAGTGCGCCATGGTGTAGAGGCGGCATCGGGGAGGCTGTGTACGCCGGCGGTGAGTAGTTATACTGGGGATACTAGACGCCGGCGAACGCGGGTGAGGGAGTGCACTGGTCGGGGTTTAGACCGGATGGGGAGGCGCGTTGGCCATGTGGAAAGGTGATGTTGGGGTGAATCCACCATGCACATCGCCGTTGGAGTAGCCAGGCGAGGATGCGTACCCCAAGTGCGATGGTGGCGGCAAGAAGCTGGCGGGTGACGCGACGCTCTGCTGGCTCCACGCAGCTTGCGGGCCGTGGCCGCCGGGCGGATCCATCATCCCACGTCCCGGGCCTTCTTTGCATTGAGCCTGTTCCGCCGGTCGGTGGCGACAGCCTCCCGGCGCTGAACCTCTGCCCTCCACTCGACATTCTACATGCCCGGCGGTTTTGCCATCGGCGCCCTCGGCTTCCTCTGCTTTGGCTGAGTGGAATTGGCAGCGGCAGCCGCGTGGGAGGCCGAGTACTTCTTCGGCGGCATGACGCAATGGCGGCCGGATGGCGGGGAGCGGGAGTAGAATGGCAGGAGGAGAGGGCAGAAGGGGGGAGCAATGGAAAGGGGGGGCAGCGGGAAAAGGCATGTCTGTCGCCGACAGAGCGGACACGCGCGCGTTTTTCCTTCGGCCGGCACCCCCCGGGGGTCTGGGTTCGGCTCGGGTTCACCGGCCGCTATTTTGGCCCAAACTGACGATAAACAAGGTCCTGGGACGCGACTGGGCCGATTTTTGGCACCGGCGCTAAAAAAAGAGCCCTTGAGGCATGTTGGAGACACGGCTGGAGATGCTCTAAGGCGTGTGATGTACACGTCACTAATGAATGCTTGGTGGATTATTGAGGAGAAAAGGGGGAAGGCCACCGGATCCAAATCTTTCACCGTAAGCACCAGTAGCACTATCATGCATACTGTGCCGCTGCCTGTACCGAGTACTAGCGTGAATACTATGGCGTCGAGTTCTGTCGGCGATCTTGCGTGGATTATACACACAGGTAGTGCGCATTGCGATTGCCAAGTAGAGAACCTGTAACACGTCGTGCTCAGAAGAAATGGGAGCAACGCAAAGCCCAAGCTGCTGCAAAACAGGCCGAAGCAGAGCAATGTAGAGGAACCGTTTCCTGAAGGTCCAGGCAGCGCTCCTGTTTATCCAGCGTTGTCTTGAACTACCGATTCTTGAAATCATTTACTATTTTTCTCATGTTGGCAGAACATTTGATGTTGTTCAAATTTCACACCCTACTTAAACCCAGCCGCCGGGGGCGCACACTCCCTCCTCCCCTCCCTTCGCCGCCGTCGGGCTAAGCCTCTCTCCCGCGTCTTTGGGGTTGTGTGGGGCCCCTAATCATGTGGAGGCGCGCCTGATCCGATCTTTGCGGCACGACGGCGATGGCTGCGGCGGCCGGGTATGTTCGGGCGGCGGCGCGGCGCACCATCTGACTTTGGATCGGCGGCGGCGGCGTGAAGGGCCTGGTGGACGTGTCGGCGGCACCTCCTGTCAGATCTGTTCTGGCCGGTGCAGCCCACAGTGGTGGTCATCTCTTCCGCCAGAGGTGGCGGCCTGCGGCTGGTGGTCGGATCTCAAGATTCGCCATCTAGTCCCGGCTGCGAGTCGAGGAGGCATAGTTGCCAGTGAAAATCGAGCCGATGACGGCGCTCTGTGTCGTTCCCTTGATGAAGGCATCATCGTGTAACTATTGTCGACCCACTCGTGCTGCTCCGGGGGAAACCCTAGGATCTGGTCTTCTAGATCGGATGATGGCGGCACTTCAGTGTTGTTTCTCTCTTGAGAGCATCGTTTGTGGAGCAGCGCGGGAAGACTAGGGCAGGAGGTGGAGTGGCTTCGTCTTGCACAGAGCTTCGGTGGAGATGTCAAGTCATGCATGGCCGACTGGTGATACGCTGTGTCATGCCTGTTTGGCGGGTGCTATGCACGGCAGATCTTCCGGAGTCTTCAAGTTGTGTCGGCTTGTGGTACTTGGTGGCATGGTGCTGAGGTGTGTACCAGCGATGACGCAACGTGCTCAACAGTTTGTGCGCAGGGAGGTGGTGTCGTTGAGCACCATGTGGCGTCTACGGGTGGCCGGACTAGCAAGGATGACGCAGATCTTCTTCTTGAAGGTGGGTCAGCGGTACCGATGATGATGACGGCTTTTAAAACGTGTTCATGTGGTGTATGCATTAGGTTTGTTGCACCGGTTGTAGGTTCCAATACGTTATGTGGATGAATCCGACGACACCGGTTTTAGATATGGAGAGTGAGAACACTTCATACTATCGAGCTTGTAGGTGTGCATACTACCTTCGAGTGGCTTGATGTATGTTTTTGTCAGATCTTTGTTGAATAATTAATAAAGATGATTATATGCATTGATTGATGCAGAGACCGGGAGACTTAACCTCCTTTTCTATAAAAAATATGAAGTATAGAGCACGCATCTACCAGTTTTTCACCACAAGAGATGTTTGTTTCGTCCTCGATGATAACTGACTAGTAATAATATATAAATTATATCATATTGCTGGAATAGATGAGATTTAGTAGCAGGATTATTTACCTATCAGCGATCGATGTGTACTATTGATTTCTTTAGCTATGTCGGTTGCTCAGTTATTCCTTGATGAAGGAGGCATGAGAGATGATGCCAAGATGGCGACACTTTTGTTGGTTCAAATGGAGAATACCAAAAATAAGCATGGGGTTTAATACTTGGTCAACTATTTCTTCATTGTCATAGGCTAGAACACCATATCAGAAGATTTATTCAAGTGCCCAAGAGATCAAACACTGAGCTTCCCATGAGCAACTTAGAGGAGCTGTGGGTTTCCATTACCAACACGCACAATGGTTTGCTCATATTTTTTTGATGACACCATCTATGTTTTGTGATGAAAATACACTACAATTTATGTTTGAACTTGAACTGAATTAGTATTTGAAATTTGAGAAAAAAGTTATGCTTGCAAGTGTGATGCATGATCATAATAT